CACACACACACACACACACACACACACACACACACACACACACACACACACACACACACACACATTAATGACCTGATGGCTCGAGGTGACCGGCGCCCGGAATTAATTAACAATAAATATTTTTTTTTAACCGTCCGATCCAGCCCTGGATTGTGTTCCTCACATATTTGTTGAATATAAATGTTGGAAGCCTCTGCTCATCTTTAAACTCCGACATGTTGTGTTGCCTCTAAACGTCTTGCTTCAGTGTTGCTTGTATAAAGGAGATTTGTTCCATAAACCTGCAGAGCAGATATGAATCTGTGTTGACGCTGCATCACCCGTTTGACGTTTTCATCTACACAGACTCGGGAGCTGCTGCTTTAGGTCCAGAGTTTGAACACACGCAGTGGAAATATTGACTCTCTTTACAGTAAATACTCATATCAGGTAGTTTAGGTCACGACTGCTCATTGAAAAGATTTATCAGAGGATGACTGTGTTTAATTGAGAGTCATACTTCATGTTTCTCTGGGAGTCTGTGTTGTTGTAACTTATCAGAAAGACTTTGTTCTGTATAAAGAAGCGGATCCCAACATGAGTCAGAGGGAAACACAAATCCATTTCTTATTTTATTCTAATGGTTTGTATTGTTTAAAGTCATTCTGCCTCTCCAGGTGTGCAACAACTGAACGATAAGAACATCAGCATCATTAACCTGCATCATTGTTTCATAAAAGCAACGTGTGAGCGAAGCAGCTTTCACAAACAATCGTTAGCAAAGAGCCTCTGAACGTCCTGCAGCCTCTCACGAGCTCGTGCATCGTTTGTATCAGTGCTGAAGCTACAGGGTCGATAATCAGATGCGATCAGGCCGCACTTTGAAAATATGCAACCGACACATCCCATCAGCCATCTGGTCAAACACGCCCCCAAAAACACACAACTTCTCTTGCTCTGCAGTGGAAACATCGTCTCGACCGAACACTCAAAGAGGATTTCAACAACCTCGTCTTAACTAAAGTGTTTTAGCAAATACAATCAGCAGGAAGCAAATGAAGGGTTCTGTTCTTTAAGGCAGGTAAAGTAGGTTGTTATTTGTTTTTCTTTCTTTCCCTCTTTAGTAATTAATTCCCACTGATTCCCAAACGAATGATCAGCAGCACATCACTGATACAAACACAAATACATGGACATATGGACGCCAGCAGCTGCAGTGTAAAACGTCCTGCACCAGGACAGGAGGTGTTTGTGTCCAGCAGCAGCGAGCGTCTCCTCTCACGTGCTAATCCTGCGGAGCACGAGGTCACACGTCACGCTCACCTGCAGCGTTGCCATCTGTTCTGCAGGTAGAGGACGATACCTGTGACGGTTCCCACGCGTCAAACCGAAGAAGAAAGAACCGGGGATTCTATTTCACCTGCAATAGATTTTGCACGGATTTCATTTTGGCTCCAGGGTGCAGATGTTATATTTGATGTTCAGAGTTTGCTTCATGTTCTAGAGGGCGTAAAAAAAAGCAATGCTGCCGTGTCAGGACTGAACCGAGCTCCCACGTTTCAGCCGTCGGTGCACGATGCCGATCGGCCCATCGCTGGAGGGTTACAGTTTGCAGGAGCGAGTTGACGGGGCCGAACAAGCGCCGGTGAATTACGTCTGCTCCGTGTTTTCATGTGCAACTGAACGATGTTGACAATCTCTCTCTGCCTCTGTTCCTCAGACGGACGCCATTCACCCACACTGCGCCCTGGTGGTTCAGCACATGAGAGCTGAGGAACAGTGCAACCAGATCCTGAAGCAGGAGCAGAAGAACCGCTCCACCAGGACAGGTCAGACCACGTCTACACTGTGTAGTGACAAAGATTTGTGTCTCGTGAACAGACTCTGTCGGACAAACGTCAAGTCCCCGGGACGTCGTCCTTCAGTGGCTTCAGTGAAACGTGGTTTTAGAGTTAGTGTAAGATTAAAGTTTGGTGGAAGGAAGAGACAGTTTGAGCTCTATATTGGGGGGGTGGACACCACAGTGTGATTGACAGCTAGTACCATCCAATGGGTGCAGGTGGGCGTGCAGTGTCCTCGAGCTCTCAGTCAGGCTCCACCCACCAGTCCTTGTTATTTGCCTCACTCTCCAAATATCTATTGGTTTTTATAAATATATCAAAACAAAGTTATCAGAGACACAAATTCATTGATTAAACCTGAAACATGTTTTCCACTGCATAACTTTCCTTCCAGCACTTTTATAGATTTCCCTGTTTTCTAACAGATTTGACATTAAAACGATTCTTTAGATTCATTTTCTAAATCAGAATCTTTATCTTTAATCACTTTCTTCAGCAGCACTTACGTCAGTAACCATGATCCCTGATGGGTTCAAGTCCCCTGTGAGGCTGTTAAATTACATTTTTCTCCTAATGAATGACGTTGACTATGCACAGTAGATTTATACAGTTTAGTGAAATCCACCACAGGCTGAAGGATCTTTTTCCATCCTCCTCCGCTTCACCTGCTTCACAGGGTGAGAGGCAGCGGGTGGAAAGCAGCGGAGCCTCAGCAGCAAATGTCAGGAGTTGAAAAAGTCTGTGAGCTCCCACGTCCAGGAAATTGATTTCTGGAACTGAGGTTCCTCATTAAAGGAGAATCATGAACGAGCTCTGGGCCCAGTCCTCAGGGAATCGTTCCACTGATCGCATCCTGGACAGAAAACATTCAAAATCTGATTTATTGATAAAGAGAAATTACATCAACATCCATTAAAACAATGACGTGATGCTGCTCGGTGCCAACACTCGGACCAAAACTAATTTTCTTTTCTCTAGAACAATTCTTAAAAATGACGTCTCTGTCTGACAGATGTCGTGTGTGCAAACTAAGATTAAAATATATTTTACAAGCAACACAGAAACAACAAGCATCGACAATGATCAACAGTATTGGAGGCACCAAGACGGTGGGGGCCCCCGGATCAAAGTCTGCTCAGGGCCCCGTAAAGACTCGGTCCTAGGTTCTGTTCAGTGGCTCAGAAACAAACAGCTTCTCCTCCAGGAAACTTCTCGATTACACCTCAAACGTCAGTAATCGTCTTTCGAAGCAGTTTGAGTTATTTGACGGGTTCGGTTTAGTACGAGGATCCACACCGGCTCCAGCTTTTCGTCCTGACGTCCGTGAGCCAGACTTTACGTTGAGATAAGTTTAACTCATTTATCGGTTTGCTGATATAAAACTGATATGAGCCTTTTGTTCACATTGGAATCAGCAGGTTATTTTATGTCCTTCTTCCTCGTGTCGGTCCTGAATGTCTCACCATGTCACAGGTTCCCGACAAGCAAACATGAAAATTCGATCTTTGAATAAAAAAGATTTTTATTGTAAATAATTATGTTTAAACTCTAAAAGCCTCAATTCTCTAGTAAATGTCTTTGTCATACGGGTGTGATGATGTTATATGAATCATATATGATCATATATCATATATATTCCTATATTGGACAACACATCTTTAATCCCAGACTGTAAATAAAGATGGACAATATGACACCGAGTCAAAGTGCCTTGATCGCCACCTGGTGGCTGTTGGCAGTATGGCTAATAAATCCCAGCTCCTCCATGTTAGTGTGAGGGACAGAGGCCAAACTAAAAGGTCAAAGTAGACGATTAATAAATGTTTTGTGTCAAAGAAGAGTTTCTGTTGTGACACGTGTCGTCCGTCTTTATTCAGAGAAGTCAGCGATGAGCTGTGCTCCGACTCTCAGATGTGAAAAGGTCATGGAAGCGTCTCTCTCTCTCGTCTGCTGGTCAGTGGGACTGTCTCTGCTCACCACTGTTTTTACTTAATTCATTGTCCGGTGACAGGAACCATCTGAAGCTGCAGGTTACGAGGAAACGTCTAATACCGTTCATTAAATATTTGTTTTTGACTTCAATGAATTCCATTTCCCACGAGCTCCAGATGTAAACATCACGACCGCAGCAGGAGAGATGAGTCACGGTTAAAATCATCTTTTCATATACGTGCAGAAATATGACGGTCATTTATCAAAACCAAAATAATGGGAGTTAAATATTCATAAAAGCAAAGAAGGCCAGAAAAGAAAAGTGTCTGAGACGACAAAGGAAGAGAGAGAGTTCATAACGAGTCATGAATATTTAGCCACAGCCGTCCTGAGGAGACGTGTCGGGGCCACGAGGGTCAGGTGCTTCTGTCACTGACCACAAGTGTTGTGGTACATACAGATGAGTGGAGGCCGAGAGTCACTGCGTCGTCCAGTGCTGTCTAAATATGGAGAGCTGTTATTTATACTCGGCTGCGTGCGAATACTAACTTAACTCAAATGCGTCACTGCTCTTAAAGAATAATCTGAGTTTCCACCAGACTCTGGAGTTTTGCTTGTAGAAGAATTCCAGGAGGAGATACGTGTTATCACTCTGTTCGTTTATTCATTCTGTCAGTAAACCAGCATCTGTAACACACTGTCCCTGCAGAACCTGAAGGGATGAAAACGTGAACTATGACACAGGTTTGTTCACATTACCACATATTTTACATTTGATTTGATTTAATCAACTTCTAATCCTTCAGCTGCAGAAACGTGAATTCTAAATTTCCTCGTTCTGCCTTTGCCGTATTTTTGAAGGTGACTTTAGCTCAACAGTCAACACAAGATTTCTCAGTTTGAACAGTTGGCTCGTCTTATCAAATTCACAGAACAACAGCTGATATTGTTCCTACAAGAACAATTTGGTGTTTAAATAAGGAAAAGCACTTAAATGATAGCAGAGGGCTCAGTACACATTTCTCTGGCTCATAGTTTTCCTGGCCATAGAAGAAAGAAGCATTAGACACGGAACGATTTTAGATTGGGCCCTTCTGACAATCGCGGGGGTCGACTGGAGGTCGCCCTGTGCCGAGTATCTGCCCAAACAATCCTGAAGTGGGAGGGTTTCAAAAGAATCTTAACTCTACAGATTGAGTCGGAGTCTCCCCGATCTCCGAACAGAAACCTGAAATCATTTCCTACAACCAGCAAGTGTGTGGTGTGTTCTGAAGAGTGTTCTGAAGAACTGATTAAATGAAATCTTTCATGATATCTGTTGTCTCCCTCGTTTTTAAGATCAGGCAGGAGCTGAAAAGTCGATAACGTGATGGAGACTAGTTGGTCCTGAAACTTGTGCTTCAGACAGCTTCATGTGTTCTTTATCTTTGTTTGCTTGGTGCTGAACAAAAAATTCATCTTGATAATATTCATCTTGTGGGCTTGGAGAGATTAAACCAAATCCATAGGAAGGAAATGGAACCTGCAAATCATTGCAATGACGATTTATCAGGAGTGGAGGAGCCCATCGGGGGGGAGGAGGAGAGAAGCTAAAGGCCGACGAGCCTCATGATGAAAGTCTGATCGTGAACTAACTGCTCGGAAAGTTACGGAGAAATGAGCGTAGAGTTTGTTCATGTGGTTATATTCCGCTGTTGAGAGCTTTCACAGCCAGAACAGGTCGGGGGGGGGGGGGGGGCAGAGGTGTCACTTAGTTCAGGTTAATGAGCTTCACACCTCCAGTGGTGCAAGGAACGCCACCAGAGAGGAATCATGGGAAGTCAGAGAGAGGAAATGAGGATGTAACACAGGAGTGACTGAACAGAGGAGAACGCTCTGTCCACTTTCAAAGGATCTTTGTAATTAGAGCCACAGCTTCCTGTGTGTGTGTGTGTGTGTGTGTGTGTGTGCGTGTGTGTGTGTTGACATTTCATCACATCATCTCACACTGTCACTCTCTTGACCTCCGTCTCTGCAGCTTCTCACAATCATCATTTTCATAAGTAATTACATCGACTAAATACCAGAGGGGAGAGGTCACAATAAACCCAGTTGTTGAAGTGATTGTTCTGTAAATGAATAAACAGTGTTGTTAGTAACACATTCATTATTTAGACGTTCCAGTTTATTAATATTACATCAAACTCAGATCAGGTTGGAAATCCTGGATGACATGTTTAACTTTTAAGATTTGAGAATTACCTTGTTTATTACTTTTGAAATTCAAATATCAATATTTCATCATAAGTAATCCTTTGCAAACTTTCAAATATCATTTTGAAATTCTTTATTTACTTACTGGCGAGTGTGGGAACATGTGGGAGCAGATCCACTCTATCACAACACTTCATACGATTTCTGCAGCGGAGACAACAACTCGCTGCTTCGGTGAACAACTGACCGAAGCCCAGAATGTTTCCAGACCAAAGCAAAGGTTGATATGGTGCGAAGACAGTTTTAAGACAAATGGACGACTGATTACGAGACGACGGTCGTCCTCTTCAGCCATTTACTAAAAAACAATCCGACACATTTTAAAGTGGAACCACGAGGAGAGAAGAACCGATGAACTTTAACTCTCAAACCACTGTCGTACTTGTTCTACCTGATATTTGAAAAGAAGATATTGACATCTCTACTCCACTCTTGTCTGTAGACTTACACACACTGTCTGTCCGTCACTTGATTGGAAAGAGTTTTGTTTGGATTTGCAGGAGGAAGATTAATCTAAACAGATCACAAAGCAAAATGTACGCTTCCTCCTAAATCCCACAAGCAAACTACACAACCCCCCCCCCCCCCCCCCCCCCCCCCCCCCCCGTCCTGAATCCATGATGAAGCTCTTTGTCCGTTTGACAACTTCCTTCTGTCACTTCTGGCTCCTCTGCTTCTATCTTATCATAACATCGTCTATTAAAAGGGCAAATATTGTGGTCTACGTCCCAGTGGAGCCTCTTCTCCTCTAATACTTGGAACAATATCAAAGCGACAGCAGCGTGCGTGAGAAACGGAAGACAAATGCTTTACTGAACCAAGAGCACAGCAGGTTACATGAAGTGAAGTGTGAGAGGAAGAGGAGGAATGAAATAGTGATGATGGTCGTAGAGGTGATCGTTTAGACTGAGGTCAGTTTCATCACATTACGTCCGCCACATAAAAATGACAAATGTTACCACACAGTATTAACTGAGGCTTTGTTCACCTTATTACGTCTGAAGAGGAACCACAGGTGTGAAAAGAGCCTCAGGACAAATACACCGCTCACACTTTTAGTTCCGAAGAAGTTCTGGACCAAGAAACGAAGCGTGGAGGTTTCCTGTATCTCAGACCAGGGTCCAGACCAAACCGCTGTCCAACCAGACGAGGAGTTCTGGGCCTGGATCAAACTGAACCTGGTTCTGTTGGTTCACAGTGAAGACACTTTGTTGGACAGTTTGGACTTTTGGACCAATCACAGGAAGTAGAGACACATTAAACCATAGAAGAAGAAGAAGAAGAGGAAGCTGCTGCAGTCTTCACCTCCGACTTTGTTTGAACCACGAGGACGTTCATGTGGAGCATTTGAACTAGTGTTGAGTACTGGAGTACTGTGGAGTACTGTGGAGTACTGTGGAGTACTGTAGTACTGTGGAGTACTGTAGTACTGTGGAGTAACTGTGGAGTACTGTAGTACTGTGGAGTACTGTAGTACTGTGGAGCAACTGTGGAGTACTGTAGTACTGTGGAGTACTGTAGTACTGTGGAGTACTGTGGAGTCAGACAAACTTCTTCAGTCTCTAAAATACAACGTGAAACCAAAACTAACCAGATGGAATGAAACTGTGGAACAAACACATGAAGCCTGGTTCAGACTCAGATCAGAAGAAAACTTAGAATTAAATCCACAAGACAATAAAATGTACAAATGTGAGGAAGTCTGAATATTTTCTGAAGCCACTGTAGAAAGTATAGGGAAATTCGATGCATTGTGGGTAATCATCTCGGAACAAACAAACCGAGGCGCTCCCACACTCTCTGTTCATTTGCACTGCGGCCACATGCCTTTGAATGTGCAGCGGTGCGTCAAGGAGACGTCGGTGCATGTTCGAGCATAATGATGCTGTTTAAGAATCTGGCATAACGAGCTGTCACACACACACACCACTGATCATCGCAGGATGACCGAGACCCAGGAGAGAATATCCTGTAAGAGCCGGAGGAGCGAAACAAGGCTTTGTGTTCTGCTGCTGTGATGCACTAATCCGTTCAACCGCTGCTCGTCCCCTCAGTGTCACCAGCTCTGCTTTAATGAGCCCCTAATGTGGAGCTTACTGATGCTTCCTGCAGAGCTGCGTTCACACGCTGGGATTCGAACAGCAGCTCGGTGCCCTTTCACACCGCGACGCCCTGAATACGCTTTTCATTACCTGGAGAGCCATTAGCGCAGTTACAATAACGGCCTAATGACATGGCCCCTTCTCAGTCGAAGCTGTTATCTGTGCCTCAGTGAACAAACAGCAGCCGCGACAAAAGGCCAGAGAACAAATAAAGAGGCGAGTTCAGCGTGGCCTCCGTCATCCAGCGAGATGTTTGCCTCCTCCCACCTCTGGCAGCAGAACCTCCAGCAGAGGCCGGAGCTGCGTTTTATTATGAATGAGAGCTGGTGTGTTTTAATTGACACAAGGCCGAGCAGCTTTGATGTGCGAGGCGTTGAGGTGGCAGCGAGAGGCGAGAGGCTCCTCATTAGTGCTCTCAACACCCCCCCCCCAACACACACACACACAACCTCAACAAAACACACCACCCCTCCGCAGAGGAGGCTGTGTGTGTGTGTGTGTGTGTGTGTGTGTGCTTGTCAGCCATGTGAGGGGATCGGCAGAGACAAAGCGTGGGCAGCGAGGAGGGAGGAGGACATCAACAAATCAAGTGCCCCCTTCCCCCCCCCCCAGACAGAACGTTACAGCAGAGTTTACAAAACGATAGATTCTGAGATCATGAGACATTTTCACTCCCGTCCCTTATCGTCTGTTTGTTCTTCAGCAGGATCACACAGACAGACAGATTTCCAATGGCCAAATCTTTCTGACCTGCGATGAATGTCTTTTCTCAGGTTGTCCAACAGTTTGGGACGACATCCGGTGCTGGTCCAGAGCTGAGGTGGGACAGGTGGTCAGCGTCTCGTGTACCAACGTGTCCCAGCTGTTTGCAGATAATAAAGGTAAATCACTGATACTTATTTATATTAAACAACCAATCAGAGCCACACTGATCTGTCTTTTGCCACACACATATTAGGGACACTGATGTACTGATATCTATTTGTAAATTATTCCTAAGATGTCAGATCAAACCCTGATGACAGAGAAATGTAACTGAGGTTTGATATTTTAAAGATTAACCATAAACTTAAAATAACGAGAAATAAAAAGAAAACACTCAGGGAGGATAAACTGATGACGTGAGGTCGACATGATGTTCTGTCAAATATTCAACATAAGTGAGGAACACAACGTGTCTCCTGCATCTCGGCCGGGTGACGGAGGCGTAGAACCGCGAGGCAGTAATCTGCTTGTTTTCGTTTGTGTGGCAGAAGAAGCGCTCGGATCAGTTTGAGGCAGAGCAGTGATTAATAATTCTGCCAACAGTCACGCTGATCTCTCATTTTATCCTCCACTGTGTCTCCTCCACTGAGGTTGTGGGTAAATACTGTCCTGAAAATAGCAACGTGAATTCTCTTTTTATTTTAAAGCCAAAAACAAAAGAGGCGGCTTTGACTTTTCCACAATAATCAACTTATCTTTTCAGTCTCACATCAGCCGAGTCACCAGGTTATGTTAAACCCTCTGACCCACGGGACCCCCACCTTCTCCAGACCTCCGTCTCCTCCACGTATTCCTGAACAAAATGCTCTGACCACCTTATGTAGAAAGTGAGTGAACAAACAACAAGACGTTAATCCACCAGAGAGCATCAACCTGTAAAGCTCAATAAAGCAAAGTCCAATTAAAACAGATGATAACTTCACCTGTGGACTGTTTATCACGACAGCATGTTGTCAGGAAGGAAAGCGTACAGTGTGAGTTCATGTGTCTGATAGAGAGACCTTCTTAAAGAGGAAGAGTGAAGCGTTAACGTATCCTCGGTGTGTGGGGCTCAGGTCGCCGCTGATGACCTCATAACGTGGTGTTAGTTTCCCTCCTCCTCCACAGACGCTCTGGTAAGAGCGGCTCCGCAGCAGCGATGTGTTTCGCTGCAGACGAAACCAACGTACAGAAAAAAAAAACCTTGAATTGGAAAATCAAAGAGTTCACAGTGAGAGCCGAGAACACGAGGACGGAGTTGGCGCTGCTTGTTAAGCTCGCCGGTGTGAGCACTAGCTCTCTCCCCGGAGCCTCGGCCTCCAACCTCCATCCAAATCTAAACCGTTCACCCACCGACGCTGCGGCTTCGGGCCTGCGGGCTCTGAACGCTGCCTCACACCGAGGCTAATGCGGCTGGATACCGAGGAATCCGCCCACATCTCAAACCCCCACACTCTGCTCGGATGAGCTGAGGAGCCGGACGGGCATTTTTCACTTCACGAAACTCCGACCTGTGATTTCACCGTTTCCCTCTGGTTAACACGGACTCACTGAGAGAACCCGGTGACCTCGTGTCTGTCGTAGAGCGAGCGTCGTCATTCTGACCTCAGGCAGCAGTGGGAGAACATGGCTGCCTCGTTTTACGTCCATCAGTTCCAGTCCTCACCTGACCAGGTTTCATACTGACTCAGAGCATTCACACGAGCAGATCCTCAGAATCTGGATTTACAAGTGATCACTGCTGCGTCTTCTAATCAGGGGCGTAGCAACCGGGTGGGCAGAGAGGAGAACTGCCGGGCCCCTGAGAGGTTGACGAAGTTTGTTCTGCTCAAAAGTTCCATAAAAATCGCTGAGGATTAATTGGCAGCTTCGTTCAAAAAACAAATACAAACGTAATAAATCTATTTATTAATGCATCTTAGACTGTTTTACAAATTATTCTTTTCTCATCTTTTAGATTTTATCATTTTAAAAGTTCTTTCTTTGTTTCCTGCCTTTGTTGTTTCCTCATTTCAAATTGATTCTCGACGGCGTTTCCGCACTTTGTGTCGATTCTGTTGTTCTCTGCATGAATGTGTGTGTGTGTGTGTGTGTGTGTGTGTGTGTGTGTTGGGGGGGGGGGGTACTGTTTTTAAACCTGAATGATTGATTGATTGATTCTTGCCAACAGGCTGAGTGATGCCTCTCTTATTATTCACAGGTTGAAGTTTTCATCCTCCTCTTCATCATTTCTCCTCAGATCCTTGTTGTTTCCTCCTCCATCGTTTCCACTCAGAGTTTTTCTTCGTGTTTCTCAGGTTTCATCTACAGGAACTGCACCGAGGACGGCTGGTCTGAGGCTTATCCTCCCTACGAGAACGCCTGTGAGTTTGCAGAGTATGAGGAGACGGAACCTAAGGTAGATGTTTCAGATGATGAGATGAACTCACTGTCAGTGTGTTTAAATGTTTCTCCTTGTCGCTCTGGTCTCTGTGACCTCCGCTGCTACTAAATGACTTAGAAGAGGAGGTGTCACTCCTCACATCTTTCAGGGAGCTTCAGGTGAAACTTGTTGCTGTGGCGACCATCGGGCACTGCAGACTCACATTCACGACGACTTGAATCCTTATTAATTAAGAAGTTTTAATTACTATCCTCAAACCTCCAGCCCACAACTTGCTGATTATGGTTGAGGGTAAATTACAGATGTTATTTAAAGCAGACCATAAAACAGGTGATTGACGGTTCTCTCCTTCACACCAACGTAAACCCCGCGCGGCTCGTCTTCTCCGGAGCAATGAAAGTCATCACAAGTCCCCTGGGAACATTTTCCTGACAAGTGACGTCTTCAAATATTGACTCTGGGCTCTAAGTAGCTTCGGGGGAAGAAGCGTGATGTGGACGTTCTGTGGCAGCGTCTGTGGGCGGAGGTTGAGACGCTTCGCTCAAGAGAAACCACAAGAAACTTCTTCCACCTCCTCGAACGCGGAGCAGTCACATGGAAGCTTGAAACTTCCAGAATGTTTCTGATGCACGGGTTAAAAAGGACGAAGTGCAGAAAGTTCTTGTTAAACCAAAACTTCCCCAAGAAGTACGAAACACACGTGGTCAGATTGAACTGATGACTGAACTTCTAATATCCAGCGTTCACTTGTGTCAGTTACATGAAAACCACGTCACCGCTCGGAGATGTAGCCTGACAGAATGAATCACCACGTGTGGCTGCAGGGGGCGCTGTTGCTCAGTAAAATCTACATAGTGTTTAAATTAAATCTCCATCTTTTTCATCTTAAATTCTAACGCCTGCAACACGTTCTATAATTTTCTCTTTCAGACGTCGTACTTCTCCACCTTCAAGCAGGTTTACACTACAGGATACGCCACCTCCCTCATCTCTCTCATTTCTGCTATTTTTGTCTTCACCGTGTTCAGGTAAAGATTGTTCTAACACCTGAAGATTAATCTCTGCTTGTGATCTCCGTGTTCCTGACCGTGTTCTTCTTGTGCTCGACAGGAAGTTCCACTGCACCAGAAACTACATCCACATCAACCTGTTCTTCTCCTTCATCCTGAGAGCCAGCGCCGTCTTCATTAAAGACGGCATCCTGTTTTCTGATGAAAACCTGGACCACTGCTTCATGTCGACTGTAAGCCTTAAACCCTCCAGCTCCATTAACGTGTCTATATTTACCACTGATGGACTCACGTCCGTTACTTAAGCAGATCCAGTGGTGGGCGACCACAAAGGAAAAATGCGTCACCCTCTTCTTCGCCCTGCTTTGAGGGATCGGATGAAAAAAAAGAGAATAAGTTGTTGTTGAATGAGATAAAGAAGAACGAGTCAAAGCTGGATTCTGAAATGTCCAGTTTTGGTGAATGCAGACGGAAAGAGCGAACGTCTGTAGAAGAGAAGAAAGAATATGAAAATCTCTGGATGACGATCTCCTGCTGCTTCTTCAGACGTGAAAGATGAACTCCAGAAAACGTTTAGTCTGAAAACTGCAAAGAAAATGAAAGAAAGGAAGATAAATTTATATCAGATACTCATGTGCTGGGTTAAAACTGGGTCACCAGGTAAATGTAACGGAGCAAAAACTCAAATATTTCACTGAAAGAAACGAATAATCCCTCTGAGGTATCATTAAATAGTTCTGTCTTTATACTGAAACTGAAGCAGAAGGACTGAGGCACTGAGAATAAGTGAGTGAAGACCATTAGAGACAAGTGTCTCTCCTCCTGTTTCCCTGCCGATGATTCGTCCTGGAGTGAAGCTAAGTGTCCTCTTGTGGCTCCGAGGGACCAAACGAACTGTGACTCATTTAGCGGCGACGTGAGAGAAACACAGACGATTCAAAATGGCAGAGAAGATGAGGGAAAGCTGTGGTGGGCCATGAGGAACCTGAGTGTTTTCGAAGAGAGAATAAAAACAGTCACGACTTTTAGATTAGACGACCGAACTTCTACCAATAAAGACAAATGCCTCAAATATCCCGTTTCCCCCCCGAGCAGCTTTTAGAGACGACAGAATGAACCAAACAATCCACTGGACGAAGAGGAGCTGATCTAGAGGATTAGATTCTGGAGACGAAGAAGAAAGTTTATTTAATTTATTTCTCATCTCTTTAAGATTTTTTTATCCTTTCATTGTCCTAAATTGTTTCTGTGTTCACCACATTTTTCATTCAAAAGACTTTGAGCAGCATTTGATGTGTTTTCTGCCGTCCCCCCTCAGACGTCCTGTAAATCAGCCGTGGCCTTCTTCCAGTTCAGCATCCTTGCAAACTACTTCTGGCTGCTGGTGGAGGGCATGTACCTGCAGACGCTGCTCGCCCTCACCTTCAGCTTCCAGAAGAAATACTTCTGGTGGTACATCCTCATCGGCTGGGGTGGGCGTCTGTTGCCTCATGTCACTTCCTGTCTGTCCTCCTCTGTCCGTCTCTTGTTAAAACTCTCTCCGTGTCTCTCAGGTCTCCCAACGACAATCATATCGGCCTGGATCCTCTCTCGTAATTTCTACGATAACAGAGGGTGAGTTCATGTCAGTTAAAATAAAAACGTCCAAATTCATGCGTCCAACCCATAGACTATAAGTAAAGATGGACGACTGAGTCTCCATCGCCCCCTGGTGGTTGGCTGTAGAGCAGGTCATAAACCCCTCCTCCATGTTCTGCACTGTGAGGAGGTGTAGTTCTGTGTCGTCTCGTTTGTGTCACTGCTGCTGATTGTGTGTCTCAGGTGCTGGGACGACACAGACGTGGACTTTATCTGGTGGATCATAAAAGCTCCAATAACTGCTTCGCTGCTGGTGAGTGCAGAGCTGTGGCAGGGGGCGCTGTTGAGGAGCTGCAGGGGTGTTTTCTAACTCGGCAGACGTCCGCACTGACACGACGGAAACAACTGATGTGTGTTTCTGTGTCATGCAGGTGAACTTTGTCATCTTCATCAACGTGATCCGTATCCTGGTGCAGAAGCTGAGGTCTCCTGGTGTCGGGGGAAACGACACCAGTCACTTCAAGTGAGCGAGGAGTAAAAATCCACACAACAGGTATCCTGCACACCCACGTGTGTTCATGGCTTCTTTCTGTGTGTGTGTGTGTGTGTGTGTGTGTGTGTGTGTGTGTGT